AACGTTCACAAGTCCTATAATACGAGAAGGACATAGATGCACTTAAGGAGTGATTCAAACAGCAGCCAATCAGAGAGCGAGAAGAGCAGAGTAAAAGGTGAAAAACGTGCATGAAAAACCGCCTGAACCTCAGGGCACGTAGACAGAGGAGCTGCGGGTAAAACACAGGTAGATAAGAGTCTTTATCCCGTTTATAATGTTTGGATTCAGACGTCAAGGCACTCTACAATTTCAGCTCAGCTGCCAGTTTGTAGTGAAATATTTCTCCATATCTCACTGTATCAGTGTTTCTCAATCCCCAGTTTGCACTTTTGCTACACATAAAAGCACAATCAGGGCCAGTCCAGTAGGTTTAGCTTTGTTTGTGTCATGTAATATCTGAGGAGATCTGGGAGTACGAGGTCTTATTCATAGCTGAAACTCCTTGTGTGTGATATATTCACTTTGCCCTGTAGTCTAGTGTGAGCTCCCACATGACAAAAAGACAAGAAATTCCGTGACAAACTGACGTTAAGTTTGTGATGCTCTGTTTTAGAAATCTGTTAAGATTTTAAAAGTCACGTAGTGTACGCCCAGCCTTATTAATACCAATTCACCCTGCATGTGCTCTTCATCATGAATTCATTAAAAAAATACATTTTAGGCTAAAGATTTCTCAAAACTATCGCAATAAGCAGCGTTTTGTTAACCTCTTCATGTAATAGCATTCTATGATGCAGTGTTCAGAGGCAATGAACACTTTGGACAACTGCTGTAACAGTGAAGAGCTTCCTTTGCACCACACCAACAAGATCAAACTTTACTAAATCATCATTTTAAATACAGTTTACAACGCTACAGAAAGCATGTATAATGTGTGACTTGACATTTCCGACAGGTCGGAAGGATGGATGCAAGACGCACTTATAGCACAGCTGTTGTGGACTGAAACACTAATTAAAATGAAAGCATATCTGCTCTGTGAGACAGACAACTCAAACACTTAAAACATTGTTTTTAAGGATGATTTTGTGGATGAGTATTTGAATACTGTAGTTTGGAAATATCAACAAGTATTTGAAGCCTGAAAATGCTGTTCAGGCCAGCCCTAGCCTCCTATTACCACTGCTGTGAACAATTCTGAAACATAAGCGTCTCTACAATGGAGCATTTCCTCATCAAACCACCCTGACCGACAGTGTTTACACTTTAATTTAATTATGCAGAATGTTGAAAAATCGGTCAAATTTCCCTCACTCACCATCGTCAGCCACTGCCTACTGCGCCAAGAAAGGGCCACAGACTGACATGCAAAGCAACAAATTACAGATTGTTATTTTTGTGTGACGCGTAGAGGCACATGATTCTCAAAACAACTACAACAAAACATAACTGTGCACAAGAAAGTGATAAATGTGTTGTGAGGATTTTATTTACTAGCTACCACACACGTCAAAGAAAACTTTTTAAAACATGTGATTATGTAAACCTCAATTTTTTCAACCCGGTGACCATATTCTGCTTTAAAAGGCTTACTGTTGTCATAGCGAACAACTGCCTGCAAAAAGGGTGTTTCTAGTTGGACTGATAAAACCCAGAGCACGGACATGCGTTCAGACAAGCGTGTAGATAATCCCAATAGTTGTGGCCATCTTACATAACACACAATAGATATCAGACGCTCTGTGTACCTCTGTGGACAAGGTGTCTGAGGTTAAAGACTATGGTTAAAGAAACAAACACTGCCCAATGGAACAGTACAGATCTATTCAGTCTATGCATTCGTATGCAGAATGAATTTTATGTATAAACTGACAATTCCTGTTGAATGTGGTTGTTTCTGGAATTGATTAATCTATTAGCTATAATCTGATTAATCAAATACTATGCGTTTTGCAATTTACTCTCACTTTGACCCGTCACACTGTCATCATCAAGTTCCATCTGTGGAACAAGTGAATTCTTCTTTTTATGGTACAATGACACAACAGAAGCTATACCGACCCCAACTTATGTGAACTGCAAGCTGTCACCATGTGTATTACATGAACATTACAAAGTGCTTTTAAGTAAATTATGAACTAATCCCACTCATCCCCTACACTATCCAGCAAAACTAGCAATGTAAATGATCAACTGTTAATCGACAAAAACAACTGTTTGACCAATGTTATTAGTTCACATCATTTAATTTCTAATACACAACAGCTCTCGTATAAATACGTGGGTGTGTATGTTACAAGCTGAGTAATTATTTTGAATTGTACATGTAAACATGCAAAAGGCACCTGGTTCCACTAGACAGGCCTACTAAAAAACAGAAATGCGCAGTTAAAAATAGTGGTGTTCGGGACCACTTTTTAAGAAGACGATTGCAGAACACTGTAGCACCACGCTGAAAGAAACAGAAAAAAAACAAAACAAAAAAACACCTTTTTGAAAGCTGCTGACACACATTGAGCTCACCCCGTTCAAGGCATTTTTAAAATTTGTTATAACTTTGTTTTAACAGTAAATATAACTTTACAACTTAAGAATATACAATATAGTTACTTATTGTACATTCTAAACATTTCGTCAATGTTTTCGGTTTAATTAATCAAACATATTACAGTCATCCCCACGTTTAAAACAGTTTCAGGCCGTTTCCAACATTATACACACACTTATGCCTGGCCTCACCTACCAGTACTATGTTTCACAGTCCATGCAAAAAACATTTCTTTATCTCTCAGTTGATTTGGTTGATGTATGTCAACAAGTGTGCATACAGCAAGTACTTTACAAGAGCTTTGAATGTGGCTCTTGCAATCGGATTTATGATTGATTTTTTTGATGGGTCGCATCCTTGATTTTAGGCTTGCCAGTTAGTTGTTAATCACCAATTAGTAATGAGCGGTTATCAGATTTATCAAAATTAGCATCTCTAGCTCAAACGCTATCATAAGATGGTGAATAAAGACTCAATTTAAATAAAAATTGTCATTTCAGTGTAAACAATAGAAGCAATGTACATGAAAAAAGAAAAATCTTCTTTCAGTGATTTACTTCATTGTGCTTCCAATCAGCAGAACTCAGTAGAACTTATTCCATCAAAACTTCCGAGCTATAAATCCTGTGCTCACATTTGGAGTGGGCATTTTGATTATTTTGTATTATTATCATCATGATAAAAAATAAAACAATACGCTTTTCTGGGCATACCCTGGATATCATCAGTACTAAGTAAAGAACACTAACTACATGTTTCATTACAAAGTGAGCATAATTGGGCCTGTTTAATTGGAGTTACTGCAGCACAGTTTGTAAAACACTGAATAAAAATCACCACAGCTGCAGCTTTATTATTATTATACTGTGTGTATATGTGCCACTACAGGTTCTATTTTGTCTATATGATCTTATCAAATCTCTGAAAAACTAAATATCATGATAAATACCATGTATTGTGAAAATGTCTTGAAGTATCACGATATAATATTTTTGCTATATCGCCCACCCCTAGCTCACAGCAGTGATTTCACCCCGTGAACGGGCAGCTCCAAACACATAAACAGATTTTTTTCTAAAACTATCATGGTAATAATGAATCACAATATGGATCAAGTATTAGCAAGTATTGTCAATTAATGCTTGACAGTACTCTCAGGTATTGGTGCATGTCCAGTGTGATCACCACCAGTGCTATAGTAGTGAACCTCTCTTCCCCAATCCTAGATTTTTCTAGGAATATACTCTACAACTTGCAACTGCCCAATAGCAGCACAATATCTCCAAACACCATTTCATCCCTACTTTTAGTAAAGCTCAATCCCATATGGCACTAAGAGAGAACTGCTCATGCCCTTATAAACAGACTGCCCTCAGAAAACAAACTGAACTATGTCACATAGCAGACTGATACACATCCAGTCAAAGTGTTGTAACAGAAGGCACATTAAAAACCTCTGAGCTTCAGGGAATGAAAGATTATTTCAAACTGTAACACTCCGTTTCCACTCTTTTTAAATTACTGAACACTCCAAATCAAAACACTCTCAATCACTTAAGATTTTGACTTATCCAGTCTTTCTAAAGCCACATGATAAAAACAGCCTTTAAACTATTTTATTTGTACATAATCCTAACATTACACTAAATTTGCCATATACTCCAAGACAACACAGTCACAAAAAATTCCCTGAACAAATGAGGCTCATATTTAGGTCAGCAGGGCAAACAAAACAAACATAAAATAAAGATATTACTATTCACACAGATCATATAAAATAGTTGATATTACGTTACATATAGTGCAAATGAAAAACAAGTAAAATGTATGAGCTGTTGCATTCTGCAGTACTCAGGTTCAAAGCTAAATGAATGACTACACAACTAAAAATTCACGTACTGTTCAATTCTTACAAAAAAAATGTAATCCAGCTGTCCACTTGAGAAAAAGAGTTTCTGTAGTGCCAGTATGAATGCATTATGCAGACAATGCCCATTATCTGCATTGGTAACCACACTGAAGCACAGACACTGAGAATTTCGTGTACAGTCAAATACTGAAGATATCGACAGATAAAACAAATGACTGTCTAACTTGTTAGCTATATCAGTCTGTGGTAAAAGCCCAGTCGTTAAAAAGGTGGAACATATTAATCCATAACACAGGCAAGAAATCACTAGCAGCTAAGAATGGTTAGCGCAGGGCTAGTCAGACGTCAAGAGGCAATTTGAAATAACGCACTTTCACATTTCTACGTCGACGTTACTTGGACCATAACAATAACTTTATCTGCGAGCGAGTTAACATTTACCTTCACCCACACAGTATAGAACAATATCTGAGCAACTATATGCGTATATTCACGTCAATTCCGAAACAGAAACCAACTTTGCTAGGTGTACGCCAGTTCGTCGCTAACGTGCTAACCTAGCTAGGTTAGCTACCTGTGTCTGCTAGCCGTAAAAGCTAATTAGGCAGTCAAGGAAGTCAGAAAACTTTTGCGGTCGACCAAACATTTTAAAATCCTTACCTGGCTACTCGAATGTTCAATCACCGGTAGCACTGGAGTCCGCGTCGTCATTTTGGATTTTCAAATTGGGAATGAGTTCACGGCTCTCAAAATTCAGTCAAATGTGACATCGGTGTTCAACTGTCCGAAGTCCACAGCCAGTTCAGCTAACTCTTAGCTACCTTTAGCTAGCAGCTGTGCTCTGAAGTAGTTCACAAGCTAGCACAGCAGGGCTGGTGAATCCGGCTAGTCAAGTCATAATTAGCTGGCTCTCAGTGTGAAACAGCTGTGGAGGTTTGTTTTTCACGTTAAAAATTGTGCGAGGATATCGAATCGCTTTCCTATTGAATGTACTGCTAGCCAAGTTTGCTACAAACTGTAACAAATGAATGTAGCTAGATAGCTTGACAATTCAACGTAAGCTAATAAGCTAACGTTACTAGCTATGTCTCTTACGTCAATTTCTCAAGAAGCACTGAAGATAAATATGAGACTCAGTCGGTACAGACACCACTGGCGACAAACAAGGGTAACTGGCTACATAACCGAACTTAACGAAAAAGCCGGGCTCGTCTAACGCTCAGTTTTTTTCGTAGCCACTTAAAAAGATTGTATAAATCGAGTCCGGGGATTCCAAGTTAGGCCAAGTGGTAAAATCCAGAGGGTCCCCGTTTAAGCCAAATACAATTACAGTGAAGTGTGGTAGACGGTAGCTCATCAGCACCTAAATCTGGAAGTCCTCTTCAACCAAAGCAATAGCTGTCCAAGTGTCTGTGCAAAAAGTTTAGGGTTGAGTTAGCCAGCTGACGGGCTAGCTAACACTATCACCCGTCTTCACCAAGCAAAGCTCACATCCGCGATGTTCCGACGAAGAATCCGTAACGTTAATATTAGCACCACATGCAAGACTATTTGCTTTAGTCAAATGAAGTTCTTGACAATCCAGTAATTCGTAGCTCCGAGCTCCCTACTTAATAACCGCCGAGCAAAACCGTCATATTGATGCCCCGACTGGCACAGCACCCCCGACTGCGCTGCCTGAAAACCATACTAACCACCTGCTAACTGTCGTCGTTAGCTGACTGGTTGACTTCGAAAAGCTCGCCGATGTTTTAAATTATCGGTAGGGGTTACGATTTTTAGCTGCACTAAAAATCAGACCACGCCGTATATTTACACTGTAAATCGCAATGAAGGCCGAATTAAATGTGTACGCAGAGGCGACCTGTCGTGCTGGGCGGCCACAAATCTGACTGCAGCGCCCGGACGGACACCGCTGTTGTTTGCGTTCAAGAGAGGACCGTGAATCAGTCCTTAACTGCTTCCTCTCGCAAACTCGCACTCAGCTTTTAAAATAAAAGCCCGCCCGTGCTCGACAGCGCACCGACCATGCCCATCTGCTAACTACATATAAGTAGTAGGACTTCAGAACATATCACGCATGTCATCCAGTGGCCCCTTCATGTATTAACATCTTTATTAGTCCGACTTTAATCTCAGTTGTTAGTTTTAGCACCTAATTGCCTTCTGAGGTACGTTGCCGCGGGGTATTCCGGTTTTCTCAGCCTTGTTTACACTCATCTGCACAGGCAAAGCAGCGCCGATGCAGAAAAACACCTGTTGCGTGACTTTTAAGATGAAAGCAGTAGAGCAGGCTCACTACAACATTGTAGCTGTCGCTTTAGCTTTTAGTCCACAGTGCCTTGATATCAGAAATTTAAACGGATCCAGTAAAATGTTACAAAATATTACAAGTAAAAGTTAAATGTAACCTGTAAAAAATGTACTCTAATATATTAAAATTCAGCATTACTGGTTTCAGTTCTCACTGGCACGAAGTCATGGTTTTTGTCTTAACAGCAGGAAGATTTTTTTACTAGTATGAATCAAATAACATGGTTTACGTGATATTTGAATTGAAATGTGGTAATTACATTTTCAGAAACTAATTATTACGTGTTTGAACTGATTGTCTTACTGATGACAACTGAATTGCTACTTGTAAAAAAATGCATGTAAAAACAAAGCTTCCTATTACATGTAAGAATTTGATTTGCACACATAACGATTAAATTATCACAGTTAAATGCTCAAATTCAAACATGTAATAATTAGAATGACAACATGTAAAATCTTATTTTTTTCTTGTGAAAATATAATTATCACATTTTAAAATTGGATTAGTTCTAGTAAAAGATTTCCTTCCATTAAAATGAATCAGGAAAATCCCTGCATTCCTACCTTTAAGAACATGCTAATATAGAATTCCTTTTTTCACATTTGATTTTTTACTGGATTTTTTTACTAGTACTTATAACATTTTTTGAAAACTGGATTAATAGCTAAACCTGCTTTCTGTATAACTGCAGAGCTGAAATAGAGTGGACTGAAAACTAGTCTGTTATGGACAGGAGCCTTCTAGCCAGTATACATTTGCAGTTACATTTAGCAGATGCTCTTATTCAGAAAGACCAAACATGCACACAGTAGAGTTTGGTTTTAGCTCTGTGTAATGGACAGGCAGGAAGGGAGTCAATAATTATAGAGAGGTCTAGTGTAGAGGAGTGTTTTACAGGTAGGTGATTGAGTTCTGTCTTGCCTAGATTCACTTTCAGGTGGTGGGTCTCCATTCATGAAGATAATTTGTTTAAGATGTCAGAGGTGGTGGGTGGAAGTAAGAAGTACTTCTTGTCATCAGCATAGCAGCGATAAGAGAAACCACGTGAGCTAATCACTGATCCCAGTGACACTACAAGATGAACAGAAGTGGACCAAGAACTGACTCCTGGGGAACTCCAATATGTTCGGTGGAGAGAGAGAGGGAGCGAGAGAAAGAGAGAGAAAGCTTTCAGGTTACCTGTTAGGATTGATCTTGAAAATGGGATGAGAGCCAAGTGGGAGCAGTGCTGCCGACGGCCAAGTCCAAAAGTGTTGAAATGAGTGTCTGGTGGTTCACAGTGTCAAAGGCAGCTGACACATCATGGAGGATAAGGACTGCAGATCTACCTGGAGATTTACTGACTGACACAAGGGCAGTTCTATTGCATGTCCTTACTTGTGTCCAGCTTGCATTCCTCATACATCCCAAATAAATCTTTAAGACATAGACTCTCACTTATAGATCTGAAAAAGCACAGCATTAAATAAGTTAGCCTAGTGCAATAAAATAAGCGTTAAAGGAAAAGTTTTCAGGAAATTATTCAAACTGTCCAGTTTCCATTTGTGGTTGGGCAATAAATTGATAATGAAAAATTTGACTTCTGAATTGTCCCCATAATTTATGTATGTAGCTTACATCTAACATGCAAAAAATATTAATAATATTAATAATTAATCTTAATAATAAACCATTTGAGGACAGTGATTAGCTACAGATTTAAATCCACAAACAATCCAAACATGAAGAGAAATAATCTTTCTGAGTCCAGGTTCGATCAGCCATCAGCATTACTGATCCCCTCATGCTGTTGACTCATTTCTGACTGACTGCAACCTGATACACGTTGCTGCCATCTGCTGGTACATGGCAGAGGAAGGTCCTGAGATAGAAAAAGTTTTAAAGAGCTCCTACATTTTTCTTGAAATTTACTATCACATCAACGTGAATGGGTGGGGTTAAACTTTTGCAGGCTGAATAGAAAAATATATGTATTGTTTTTTGTGACAAAAACAATTCATTTTAAATGGACTGCAGGTTAGATTCTATGTGTGGACTCAGTGAACTGAAGAGTGAACAGTATATTTTTTAAAAAATTGAAAAAGCTTACTTACTACTAGGACCGGGACAATATGCATCATAATTGTGATAAATTATGACAAAATACATTACACTATGCTTTTCTGAACATATCGTGATCATCATTACTTTAAGAACACTAAACAACTGTATGTTTCATTATAAAGAGAGCAAAATTAGTCCAATTTTACTGGATTTAATGCCAAATATTAAACAAAAATCACTATATTATACTATATATATTATACTAGATAGTATTTTTTAAATGTAGCACTACTGGTTCTTTTTTTCTCTGTTCTACCTGATCAGATGTCTGAAAAAAAAAATATTGTGATGTATTGTGTATCATGAAAATTTCTTGAAGTATCGCAATATTATATTCTTACCATATCGCCCACCTGTAAATACTATATAAGAATCTCAGTTTTGTATAATATGGGCCCTTTAAAACAAATGTTACTTTGGTCAATTGCTGAATGGCCGATCCTCTCAGAAATACAGGTACAAAACTGTCACTGGGGCGGTACCCCTCTTATCACTGGGGTGGTGCCCTCAAGGGTACATCTCAGTACCTTTAGTCAGGGAACATAATTGTACCATAATCCACTGACATTATATTTTCTAATTTGTACTGACTCCACACACCCCGTCACGTCTCCAGGCTTTTTATTTTATTGTTCTGTTTTAAAACACTGGGTTAGGAAAAGGTACAAATATGTACTTTTCACCTGCAAAAAACGTATTTAAGGTGCACAACTGGACCTTAAAACCACTGTCGTACCTATGAGGGTACGTTTACATTGTTTGTACCTGAATGAATGAAAAATGTACCTGCACAGCACTTTTATTTCTAACAGTGTATGTTTCAGAATTTTAGGCAAAAAAAGATCAGTTTTAATTTTGAAGTGATCAAATTAAAGAGTGAAGATATATTTGAAGAAGTTATACTTGGTTACTGTAACACAATTATATTAAAATATAAATAAAGTGATCTACTTACGATTAAAAGACATGTTCCTAGCTTTTAACATACGTGCTTATTTATTTATTTATTTATTTAAGCTATTTGTTCGGGCTGTTTACTTATTTAGTGATTCTTAGAAGAAAAAGTAGAGCCAGAAGCTGAACTGACGGCAAGAAAAACGTGACACGGTCTACCTAAAGCATGATAATTTGTTATGTAATAGATCATCGAGCTGTGGTGATATTGGTGCGATAAGCTACTCTTTCCCTCCCGCTGTTCAGGACAGTGAACGACGCAGGAGCGCTTTCATTTACCCGCGCTCAGAAAAAGCTGTGATTACCGCTAACTGCTGCTCTTCATACACATTTTGTCGTTTATTTTGGCTGCCAGTGGACTGGGGTGACGTCATGCATTTGGAGACCCCACCTTCATCCCCAGCATCCTCGGTCTCCTCTTCCTCCTCCTCCTCCTCCTCCTCCTCCTGTCCGCGCGCGCGCACGCGCTTCACAACACAGCGCACGTTCACGAGCATCTACGGTCACACTGTGGTGCTCGCGAGCACATACATACAGGCATGCATGCATACATGCATACAGTTGGCCGGTGACGGAGTGGTCCACGCTGAGGCTGTTACAGCGCATCCCGCACGCGCGCTGTGAACGTCCATGAGGAAACGGTTTAGTGAGGGATCTTCATTAAGAAAGCAATGTCCGCTCCGTTCTCGCAGGACGTAGGAAAACGCAGCTAGCCATGTAACCATGTAGCGGACCGGAACAGGCGCTGGAGAAGCACACGGGTAACAGCGGGCAGAAATAATGACGATACAGCGGACCTACCGAGTATAACGTAAGTACCGTTTCCCCCTCAGTCTTTGTTTTACCATAAGGCCTGTTAGCCTCGCCTCATTTGCGTCCAGTAAACCGATAAAGGCGTGACATGATGGCAGCAAATCTATTTCTTTCAGGCCTGCGTGGCTCCATATACGATCATTGTTTTTTCTCGCAGGTAGTCTATTCACACAGTGGACGAACCACAGCGAGCATGAGCGAGACAGCATGGCCTAACAGGTCATTTTGTCAATACATAGCACATAGGCTCTGTTCAGAGGAACCCCTTTAGGCCGTATTGTTGTCTTAGTTACAGCATATAATCGATAAAACGGAGGTTGTTTTCATATTAGGCAGCTTCTCGTTCGAATTTTCCGCTCCACCTTAAATGGTGCAGCACTTGCACTCTGGCGCCTGCACAGCCAGAATGGAACTGCTGCACCATTTAAGGTGGAGCGGAAAATTCCGAATAGAACTGCAGAATAAGAAAACAACCTCGGGCTCGTCTATAAACGTTACTATATGATCCTGAATGTTTCAGTAAAAAAAACCTTCATAAGCTTGACTGAACAGCTGCACTGGTCATTTTCTGAAGGGCAGTGTTAGCGGTTGTATGAACAAAGGCCCAGTCGCTGTTCCTGCGCTCAGATGAGAGAGAGGATGAGAGAGAGACAGAGCGCTGCTTAGCTTTGCCGCTGATAGAAAGTGACGGAGAGGCTGGAGCTGTATGAGCGTAATGATGTGCGACGATGCGCGAAATCCTCTCTTACTCCGCTCTCCACCTTATTCATTATCGGCACGGAGAATTTGCTCTGCGTGAATTAGCGAAACATTTGTTACGATAAACGCACGAAAAGAATAAAAAAAGAGGCTGCTGTGAGCTGCGGCTCCTGTGTGAGTGGAGGGACGCGGCTGTAGTTGAGCAGGCCTGCAGCTGACGCAGGCTGTTTGTTCACTGATCTGTAGAGCGTGTGTAAAAACGACACGACTGAACATGCAAGGAAATGTTGAGCTTTGAAAAGCGTATTTGGTGACATGTGGACTAATTTTGATGGACGATGGATACTGCAGCTGGAACAGTGTGTTCTTTCTTTTTTTCTTTCTTCACTAATAACTAATGATGTAGAGAACTGCACGCTTTTAAAATCGATAGATGGTTCTTTAAAGAGTCCATATCTGCATTTTTCTTGTAATTTAGTTTCCCCCTGTGGTCCACTTACAGCACCTCAGTGGTTTATGTACCAAAAACTGTTTCATGTTTGACAATTGTCAATTTTCCAAACTCTCTTTATCTCTGAAAATTACACTGTTATTACTGTACATTTAAGACATACATTAATATGTTGATATGATATACCAATATATACTTTTTTTAAAATCTCCAAAATGGTAACTTTACAAGAGAGAGCAAAAACAGTATTTACTTTATATATGTACACACACACACACACACACACACATATATATATATATATATATATATATATATATATATATATATATATATACATATATATATACACGCACACACATGTACATGTACACATATGTAATTACATACATACACACACAGGCGCACACTTGTATATCCATATAAAGCATTTCTCTTGGCTATTGGTCTATTCTTCTTGAAATGCTCACACAATGTACAAAGCAGCTGATGTGTTCAAATGAAATCAAAAAAAAAAAATTGAAAAAAATGGAGAGACTTTTTTTTTGGGATAGCATTGATATGTAAATTACCTTCTTTTTAATTGGGTGCCCTCTGTTTTACCTCATTTAAAAAGCAGTCCAGGCTAAACACTCTTTAGATATTCAACATGAATGGGCGGGGCTATACAGCTGTTGGATAAATAGGTGGATATATGCAAATTTCATGGTGTACTCTCCCTCATGACATCACAAAAACACTGAATTTAAAACAGGCTGATTTTTCCATATATCGGCTGTGTATTGACTGTGAGGTGTAAAGGGTACTTTTTTTCAAAACTATAACAATGTTTAGCTATTACTTCAAACTCTTTTATTTAAAATGATTCAGTTTTTCCTGATGTGGACTCTTTACAGAAAAGAAATGGATGAGCATGAAAAACCTTTACATAATAAAGGTTCTGTACTGATTCAGAGTTTTTCCTAAAATGGTAGAACTTTTATTTTGGGTGTACTTCAAATACTATTTGATTTGCTGGTTTAGATTTGCTAAACATCTATCCAAAAACTGTATAAAATTAAATCATTTTCTTCCTATAACATGTTTTTTTGACAGTCGTCATTCACCACATTTATGTCAATTATTTAATATATATTTCACACTTTGACTACCTACAACAATGTTTACCCTTTACACGGCCCCTGAAATTTGATAACTGTTTGTAGCGGTTGTGCTTAGACAATAACTGTGCTCTAAACTTGTGAAGCAAGCACACAGTGCTATGCAAAGGGTGAGCTGTTCTGGCTTCAATGTGATGTAAAGAAAACTCATTACCCATGTAGTTTTTTTTGTGTGGTACTGCTGATGAGGTGTATTTGTGGTGTGAGCGAAAGTGATCAGAGTGATGTTGACTTGCACCATGACAAATCTGGGTCAATGTAACCACCACCCCCTTCACCACAGGCTACAAAAGGCAAGGCTGAAAAAAGAAAGAGGATGAGGAGACCATCGCCAGGCTCTGTGCGTGAATGTATGCATGTGGGATTAAAAGCACGGCGTGATGACTGTGTCCTAGAGTGGAGTGTATGTGTACGTCTGAAGTGCAGTTTTGCATGCATGTCCCTCCCATGCGGTCTATGGCTGATTCAGCCATGTCACATCTTGTATTTGTTCTCCCAGTCCTCCTTTTCCCTCCTCCCTCCCTCTCCCTCACTCTCTTTCTCTCTCTCTCTCCCCCTTATCTACAGACTTTCCTCTGACATTCCATAATGCTTATTGCTAATGTTACTAGCTGCCACTGTGTAAAAACAATGAGCTGGTGTACTGTATAGAATATTGCCTTTATAGTATCATTATTACTGGCTGTTTGTTTAAATTAAATACGAAATATGTAAACGTTCCCCTCCTCCTTGCCTAACAAACAATTTCCATTGGATTCTTTCGTCTGTATGGTAGTGTTGTCCTTTTGACGAGCATTTTTTTTGTTTAACATTAGTGTGCAAGAGCTATTTACTTATGTATTATGGGGATTGTCTTTTTACTGACAAGTCTGTGATTTCAATCCCATGTATTGTTCGCTGTTGTTTTTGGTGTTCAATTAACAGGAAGGTTGTGGATGACCGACAGAAACTATGCTTAGCTTCTGTGCATTACTCATCACAATTGTTCGTGTAATTGTGCTTGCTGTGACTAATACTGAGCAATCTTCTAAATAAACATGTATTATGTGTGCAAACTATGTTTCTATAATTACATAAATACCAGAATTAATAAGCACTATTGAACTAATTCATCCTATGTCTCCTTTTCTTTCTGATCTATAAATACGCAGCTCTGCTTAGCCCCAGATGCCTCCTCTCCCTCTTGACGAGCGCATAGTGGTTATTCAGCGGCCTAAAAGCTTGGCCTTGCGTGTGGCCTCCCCACCGTTAACCTCCCAGTCTTCCTCACAACGTCTTACCACCCGCAACGAGCCCCCACCCCGCTCACCACAGCCCCAACCTCCTCCACCCCGTCCCTATCCACCCACCAACTCTCTGTCCCTGGAATGCAGGCACAGGCACTTATCCCGCGCTCAGAGAGCCAAGGGCGAAAGAGGTGCCACCACAGAGGACAGCACCAGGGTCCCTAGTCACTGTCACAGCAATGGGACTGTGACTCTGGGTCCCAGACCTCACAAGCACACACATACCATTGACATTAAAGTCTCTGTGGACAAAGGAGGGACGCACTCAGACAAAGGGCGCAGTAGCAGCTTAAATCGAAGTGGGAGCGTCAGAGAAGGCAGAAGCAAGAGGGTGTCTCTGCACGTGGATCCGGGGCAAGGCGACAGGAAACCCAGAGGAAAGTCTTCAGAGCCAGCTGAGAGGCAACAGATCCAGAACAAGACCCAGCACAGTAGCCACCATCAGAATCACCTAGCAGTGTCACCTGGTGGGGTCCTGGAATTTGTTCCAGCCCAAAGACAGCAATCAAAACCTAGGCAGGCAAGAGAAGAAGACTTGTCATTGAAGTCTCATTCAGCAACTGCCAACTACAGGGACGTGCCTTCTTTGGGTAACAAAGAGAATTCCAAACTGGGACCTGTCCAACAGCCTCCCAACCCCCACAGTCTACCCCGCCACCATAGCTCTGCCCCGTCACCCCATGCCTCCATCCTAAACACCCACTACCCAGCTGCCCCACCCTCTGTCCCCTTCCGCGCCCCCTCCTCCTTCCAGCACATCAGTCAAACCCGTCCTTCCCGTACCAGAGAGCAACGCCCCCAGATTCTCCACGGCTTGCCTCTCTCTCCCACCTCCTCTCGTGGAGGCTTTCCTAGCCCAGACCACACCTGCACAATTGACTTTTCTCGCCCTTTCAACTGTGGCTGTTGGAAGCTGGTCCGCTGTAGGGGAGGGAGAGGTCACTCCACTGGCTGTCAAGGTGGTACTGGAAGCCCATCCTCGTCATTTTCCCCAGCCCAAGGAGCAACTTCAAACAAGAGAGGAGACGCCACCATGGGACTGAAGACATTAGGTGGATGTCTGTCCACAGCCTCCACCACCAACACCTCCTCATCCAACAGCACTGTCTCAGACTGCCGCACAGGGCTTCTAAAGCCCTTGAGATGTGCATCCTGTTCTGGGGAAGGCAGAGGTTTTGAGAGTCCTGCTGCCTTTCGTAAGAAACTAGTTGGTGGTTGCCTACCCTGTGCCCCACTATCTTCATCTGCCCCCTTGCGTGCACTCCAGAGTTGTGTCAGTGGATGCAACCCTAAGGCAAGTCAGACTGGTAGCTCCACCTGCAGCTACTGCAGCAGTGATCCAATAGTCGTGACTTTTAACCCTCACAGAGCGAAGCCTCCCAACATGGGCCACAGCATTGGGGCGCATACCATGGGAGGGTACCAACCTGATGACGATGATTACAGCGTGCGCACAATTTGGCCTGAGGAACTTGCAAAGAAGATGACTCGCTCTAAAACCCAACCAAATCATCATAATGCTGCGATGGGGATGGGAACAGCACGGTCTTGCATGGGCCACGACCAGAATGGCAGCAATGGAACTAGTCCTGTTATTCTAGACTGTCGGAATCTTCTAGAGTTCACCCGCTCCCAACTGACCGACCACGCAGGACGACGAAGGCTCCAGCAAGGCAAGATGGCAGTTTTGGACTTTATGGGCTCAGGAAGTGGCAGAGACCAAGGCCGAGACTCTCTGAAGAGGCTCTGGAACAAGGGAGGAGATGCAAGAATGGGGGATGATGATGGGTTAGATGATGATATGCTTCCACGTTCCCCTTCCCCTCGCTCTCCCCCTTCTGAGTCTCCACCCTCTTTCTCTCCTCCACCTTCTGCCCCTGGTACTCTCATCAAACCCAAACCCAGAGGGAGAGAGCGGGAAGGTGGACACTCCTTACCTTCTGCCCAGTCACTTCACTTGGTCCTCAACTCACTTAACAGAGAGCAAGAAGAGGAGGAGAATGGAAGAGGTAAGGATACCTTTTTATACTCATACAGGACTTAACAAATACATGCACTGCTTGTAATACCAAGCTATTCTTTATTGTTGTTTCTAGAAGGTAGATAAACTGTTATTATCAAGGCAGTTAATGCAAGGTCTTTCCATAAATAGTTCATCCTAATAGCTCCTCCAACATCCTGCTAATTTTCGCAATAAACAGGAGACAGGAGGTAGAAATGGGAAATTAATTGGATCTTAGATTGTATGGAGGAGGTGCTTCAGACATGGTTGTGCTCCGAAATTGCAGTCATTCCATAACTTTAATTCCAAACGCCATGGCTTGTGTGAGCAGGTTGTAGCCCATAGGTTGTATTCTAGTGTCTTCAGCACTGAGGTAGCTGCACAATCAAGCTATGGCTGTCAATAATGCACAAGAGCCAGACTTGCCTTCTAGCACGTAATTTCAGCCTCAATCTCAGAGTCATATTTGTAATTAGCCTAGTAAATGGCCAACTCTTATCTCGAAAGACATCTGGGTACAATGTATGTACAACAACACTGTTCATTCTCTGTGGTGCCATGTTTTTTCATTCTCTAAATGTACATATATTTTCCTGCTTTAGCCCTGATTTTTAAATGTTCTCTGCCTGAATGTCTCTCTTTCAAGTTTACGGTTTCATTGTGCCTGCCTGATTTTTAATGCGTTATTGTAATGTGTTGCTTTTTTGTGGAAGAGCCAAAGGATAATGACTGTTAATTATCACTGTGGTTTCAAGCAAAGCGGGAAGAGGGAAAAGGGCAGAGCGATAATGCAAAAGCAAACAGGATAAGAGAAAGAAGGATTATAATGTGTGAAATAATTAGATTCTTCTTGCGAAATGGGGTCACTGACACCAAACCCCTTCTGGCAGGAGATTAAGCATTTCCCTCATTTACATCATGAAATCAGAAATTCTATGATTTCCTTTCATATTTTATAAACTGCTCATCTCACAGAGTCACATAGAACAAATTTATGCCAAAGTTGTGAAAGATTCATGTTCTTCTGCACTGCAGTCTAATGCACTATGATGTTTGCATGTTGTTGCAATTACATAAGCATAACGTCATATTCAGAATGAGTGCAATTTCAATATGATGTGCGAATCTGGTTCCTCATTCCATGGATAGGTTTTACACAGTTGTTTCGGTATGAGGGTCTCTATTTAACACCACACTCCCCCTTACACTTTCTTACCTAATTACTAACTCACTTGCACAACAGGTGCATTCATTTCGCACAGTGGACAAGATAATGAAAAGGTCTCTGTTTTTCTGTGCCAGTGCACCTGTCCCTTCCTCTCTCCTCCTCCCTCCCCGCATCTCTGTCGGATGAGAGTGTGATGACCCCAGATGTGGAGAACGCTGTGGTCAGCCCCATTCTACCGTTCCTTTTCTTGGGAAATGAGAGAGACGCGCAGGACCTGGACCTGCTGCTGCGACTGAACATCGGCTATGTGGTAAACGTCACCACCCATCTGCCCCTGTACCATGTGGACACGGGTCTGGTGCGCTACAAGAGGATCCCTGCCACTGATAACAGCAAGCAGAACCTCCGCCAGTACTTCGAGGAGGTCTTTGAGTTCATAGGTGAGGATTTTTTTTAGCTAGCTATGTCTTTATTTGAACAACATGTGTGTATAGTGAGTCATATTCATGTTCTATTTTTGTTTTTTTTGTTTGTTCATCTTTGGCTTATTGTGTCTTTTGAGGATCTCTTGTCTTATGTGTGTGAACAAAGGGCTATTTCTTGACAGGGTGATGGCTGCAAATGTATTTCTTCTGTTGTTGTTCCTGTCCTTTTAAATAAGAAATGGTATTAGAAGAGCTATAAATAAAACAGTGAATAGGTTTCATAAATAGCAAATGAATCTATGAAAATAAGGAGTAGGAAGAGAACAAGGCAACCTAACAAATGTATTTTTTGCAAAGTATTTGAACTTGCAAATGATCAAATGAAAATGTAAGCTTTATCATTAATTTTTTTAACAATTCAGCTAAAAGCAGCATATGTGCAAACATTACACCTCGCCCCATAGGCAGGGTTAATTGTAACAGAATGAGGCACTAATTATAACGCTCACTAAAAAGTACAGTGAATTGATGTAAACACAGTTCATTCAGTGCAATTCCATGTTGATTGAACAAGATGAATTGTCTAAAAACATAGAAAGTTTTTTGTCAAAACAAATATGATTAGTGTAAAGAGTGTCAGACACTAGTAAATGTATTTTTGACTCAAAATTGGAAATGCTAATCAAAATGATACAATCTAAATATATTTTAGTTACATTACATCTGTTATATGTTCTTGAAGAATCTGTGCAAAAAGATAACATTCAAAAAATGAACTGTTCTGAACTGTTTGAGAAGATATGGACTTATTCATTGCATTCACAGGGAGGCTTTGTTGTAAAGGCAAAATACCTCCTCTTCCGCTTACACACACTAATGTGATATGGATTGAAAGTTTCTTAGCATTCAACACCCAGTCTAAACAAATTGAACCAATGAATCCAATCAATGGCATGAAATGTATATCAAGATATCTTATTTTTTTCCAACAAAGATGAAAGTCAAAGTAAAGCTTTTAAAAATAGTAATAATGCCACTAATCTGACATTAAAAACCCTTCCTGTCCTTTTAAACTATGCTTCTATGCTTTATCAGGTGCATCCTGTTTTTAAGAGAATAATTATAGAGACAATACAATTTATATAGAAAACCTGTGAAATTCTTCACCGAGTATTGACAAGTGTTTAATGTCATTCAATCAGATTTGGAAACCTGCTTCTCAAACTAATGAAAACTCCAACCTTTATACCTAACATCAATAACCAATTTGCTGAAGCTCTGCTCTGGTACGTTCTGGCCCAGTTTAACCCTTGAGTTTCTTGATGCCGAGTTAGCTGCTTTCCAAGACTGATGGCTGAGTCCAAGACAAGTCTGAGAAAAAAATTAAAAAAAGGTCTGTAGTCCAGGCTGGAGTACAACAAGCCATTTTTATGCTGCAGTTTTGCAGTTTTAAATTATTACCAGCTGTTGCTCCCTTTTGTCCAGGTCCAGTCAACCATCAGCTGTAGTGTTTGCGGTGTAATCGAGTGCAATTGTTTTATTAGAGGAAATGGGAGAAAACAGTGAGGTGAAGAAATGTGATCATCAATCGTAGTTAGTGTTAGTTCTGAAACGTTGGCTTGGTGTGTCTCAGGCATAACACTGCTTTACAACTAGGCTGTAGTCAAGACCACCATTGTTGAGTCCACAACAAGTCCAACACCATGACTAGTTGACATCAAATAAACGCAAGACCGAATTCTGAGAAAGAGACCAAGTCCAAATGAAAGCGAGACTGGATCAAGACCAAAACTCTAAAAATTGAGCCCTTTTCAAAACCAAATGTTTAATTAGTCTTTTTCTCTTTCCAGTACAAATTACTGGAAAATGTAAAGTAAGGATTTTCTTACCACAGAACAAAACTGTTTATACAGTAACTCCATAAGATTCAAATCATAATGAAATACCTTGTCTTCTACTTGCAAACACAAATGTTGTTTTCAGTGCCCCCTGAATGAAAGTGGCTTTTAGTGCCCCCCTGAATGAATGTAACCAATGCCCACTCTGAATGAATGCAAACAATGTCTGTTTCATGAATGTCATTAGAAATAACAGCCTCTGTTTCTGTTTTGGTTGTTTAAGTCAATTAATTGGTCAGTTTTGGCTTTAAGGTTATATCAAGATATCTTCTAATTCTTTTCTGACAGAAATGAAAGTCAAGCTAAAGCCTTTATATTAACAAAACAAACTTTTCCAATCAGTAACGTCACATATCTGACATCAAGAACTCTTCCTGACTTTTAACTTGCTTGGATCATCTGCCTCCTGTTTTTAAGAGAGTACAGAACAATAAAGTACAGTGCAGTTTATACAGAAACCCCCCCTGTGTGGACACTGTACTATAGCCGAATGATAACAGAGTTAATCACATACTTCAAAATGATGCTACGTTACAGGCACCAAGCAGTCGATTAAAATAATATAGGTCTGAATTGACTTACACATATAATACAGTACTCAAAAAAACACTTGATGAAAAAAGTTACTTTATTGGTTACTTTGATGTGAATTTCGAGAAATATGTGTCCAATTGCTGTCAAAATTTTACAGATGACGTTACTATGGGAAAATGAAATGATAACTAAAAGAGTGTTGTACTTGAACCTATTTGACTACATAAAAGTCCATGTTACCCTGTTTTAGTTTATCCTCCACTGCAATATTTGTTGTTTTTCCTATTTTCGTTTCAGAGGAGGCTCATCAGAGTGGGCGAGGCGTGCTGGTGCACTGCCAAGCAGGTGTGTCCCGCTCAGCGACCATCGTCATCGCTTACTTGATGAAGCACACCCTTATGACCATGACCGATGCCTACAAATATGTGCGGGGTCGACGGCCAGTGGTGTCTCCAAACCTCAACTTCATGGGGCAGCTGCTGGAGTTCGAGAGAGATCTCAACTCTGGGGTTACCCCTCGAATCCTGATCCCCAAACTGAGCGGCCTGGAGACACAAGTCTGAAAGAGCCAGAATAGTGGAGAGTGAAAGAGGAGACGAGGAAGAGAAGGCAGAAAAAAAAGGAAAATAGAGAGGGCTGCTAAGCTGACAGCAAAAATAACCCTAGATTTACATCAATATGTTTATGTGGGTTGTCTTTAGTGATGAGATGTTTAAAAAAAGATCAGATAAAAAGCAATCCAGGATGGAGGGTGCATTAGAGACGAGCTGTTCAAATGAAAATGGAGTACCTACACTCTTTTGAGCATTTCTACGTAATTATAGCGCTTTAACGGAAGTAGGCAAACACGTGTTTGTATAACCAACCTCATGGTGATACTCTGTTCATACTTATGTGCCAAGTTTTATAACGCTAAAAGCACTACATACTAATGCATTACTACTCAATTTATTCCAATTAACAATTATTCATATTACTGATATTATCTAGCAGCCCTCGTAATGGGGCTTAAATGCAACGCAAGGGCAGATGATCTGGCCGTCAAGCACAGAAAAAGACACGGTGACGAGTCTTTCAGAACTGGGGGATAAAAAAACATTGTGTTGAGACCCAAAAACTGTAGCAAATTTCTCACACCTTCTCCACTGTGCACAGAACTTTTCTAGACAAATTTATTCGATAGAGAGTTCAAACGCACTTTATTTTTTTATCCCAGTTGTCAGTTTTACAGTCCTAACGCATAACAGTTGGCTGCTGACAAAGTTGAGAAAGTTCAACATAAACGTGAACTTTTATTTTGCCTTTTATTCATTATTTTATTTTACTGCGACTTCTGTTACTTGACTCACGTTTTATGTTCTTTATCTTGAGTCCCTGTGTGGGAGCTGTGCAATAGAAGTGCATGATGAAGAGCCCAGTGGGAGAAATATTGATATAAGTGATTCAAGTTTCATAACTGGACATTTTAGATGAAACCTGAGCTTCGGTTATCTGTGAAACCATCTCCAAAGATGTTGAAGTATGAAGAGCAAAAAAAATTGTTTGCTATTGCTATTTGACTCACAAAACTGGAGTATTATGTGGCAAACAGAAGAACATTGGTGGATTCTGTGTTTGTTTTTTTTGTTTGTTTATACTGACCCTGTGGACTATTTGTGAAAGCATTTGCAATCTCTGCTGGCATGACACTGAGAGTACAGATTTTTATTTTTTTAAGCATCTTTTATGTATTTTTTGTTATTTATTTGTTAATTTTTTGTTATTTAATTTCAAATCAGATGGCCTGATGTGAACAACACACGAGGGATCATAACGGCTGAAGTGAACCGAAGTGAATATAAAACTACAGTATTCATTTACAAGCTTATACATGTACTTTAGGTGCAGCAACTCACCACCTTTCTTATCACTCTGAATCTTTCTGCCCATAGTCAGGCTTTAAATGGGTCTTGACGTTGAGAGTGAGAGTCTGTTTTTTAGTGGCATCGGCAAACTTACAGTTAAAATGACATATTACAGATCAGTGGACTATAAGACTGGAATTGAAGTGATGCAATTGTAATACTACCAGCCCATTCCTTTCAAAGGTAAAGGTGAGTTTTACCATTGAAGCATTGAATGCTTGTGGAGTTTAACAAGTACATTAGCCCCATTCATCAAATTCAAATAACAGTATAACAGTTTTTATCTTACGTGCTTAATCCAGACCCATAGTTATCTACCATGTATGCTATTGACGGCTGTCTTGGCTAATTTGCTTCTGTTGCCACTCATTTTCATGGCGGCCTTTTGAATAAACCAGATGTATTAAGCTCTCAGGACTGAAGGCAAATCATCTGCTTTTAACGATCAACTGTGGAAAATGTCTACCATCTTAACTCTTCCTCAATTTTCCTACCCTCTGGTCCATTGTTTACATTCTCTCCTCTTAGTTCATAGATTCTGAAGACTGCTTTCTCCTTTTATGATACTATGCACCATTATAAACGTCTCCTTTCTTTAATATGGAAGTGTAATCTGTGAAAAAGACCAGGCTTTGTTCGGTTCACTGTGATAAGCTTTTCTCTTCCTGCATATTGTCATGTTCGTAGCCTTAGTCCTTGAAGTCTCCCCCATCAGTCTTGGCTTGCAGGAGGTTTGTCTGCTCTCTCAGAGCTCTTATCTGCCTCACTGAAGCAGCAGGTTTTCACCCACCACTGCCAAGTCTCCACTAATCCAGAGAGCTGTGCTTCCACTTTGCATTTCAGTGCAAATGAGCTGGGCCATATTAGCAAAATACACCAATACACTCTTAAAAACAAAAGTTTCTAGATGGTTCTTTGCTTGGATGCGTGGTTTTTGGAAAAACCTTAAAATGGAATGGAACCTGTACTGAACTTTAAACCTCAACTTTTTAAAGGTTCTATGAACTTGCACATCTAATTTCCAAAAACGATTCTTTAAAGAACCAATTTTTAAGAATAGTCTTCCAAATGTATGTTCTGTACCAATTAAAGGGTTCTTCCTAGAACCCTTTCGTTATGTGAAGGCTCTTTGAACTTAAACTTTAAACTTAAGCTCTATAAAAAGAACTGAAAGGTTCTTAACACTCTTTTCCCAAAAATTGATTTTGAAATTGAAATTGAAATTGATTGATTTTCAGGATCTAACTGAGTTGACGTAGCAGTTTTGCTCAGTCCTGCACCTGTTTTTCATAGAGTTAGACTGAGTTGTGTTTCCGAAGGAAATATTAACGTTTATCGAAAAAGCTTTCTCCATGGGTTAAAAGTGCTCTGAGAGACCAGACCAATCTCGTTGACCTTTGTCCAGCGATAGATGCTGCTGATATATTCAAATGTAATGAACAACAGAAGCATTTAAACTTGAATATTTGTACTCGTGGTAGTGGTCCCAAGACCTTTGGTTCCAAGTATTGCCATTATTTCTTCACATATTTGTCTTGTATAGGATGACCTGTGTAATTCTAGAACCCTACTTTGCTCCTTTTCTTTAGCTTTTTTTATCTAAAACTGCCAGTTCCTCCTCCCTGCTTGGATATATACATACAATGTGTTTTAGGAGTGAAATTGAAATTCCAGAAATGCCTTTGGGTATAGAAACTGTCTTCCATGTCAGTGTAGCACCGAAGAGTGGCAAGGAAATTTACATTGTGATTTCTTGGAGAAGCTGACATTGTTTGAATTTGTTTGTGCAATGTACAGTGTGTGAGTGTATATGAGAGAGAGAGAGAGAGAGAGAGAGAGAGAGAGAGATGAAATGGGGAAGGAAGGTCATTTTGGGTGAATCTTTCTTACCATTTCTAGTAGAAATCCCAACCTCAGGCCTTGCGTATTATTCATTAACAAAACCTCGCCATAAGCCTGAATCTGTCAATGCCACAATAAACTATGCCTTCTTTTTCCACAGGTTTGCTCTTCCAGTCATTAAAATGATTACCTCTCTATTATTCAATCATACCTTCCATGGTAAAGAAAAGTATGAGATTTGGTGTGATGAACATCCGAAAGTGACTTTTGAGATCACCGCTCTCTGTGAACTGTCTGAGATGTATGAGCATTGAATCCATTTGAAAAATGTGTGTGGACTGATCTCTTAGCTAAGTGTTTTTTTGCACACAATATTGAACATCTAAATGTAAATTTTTGTGTATAATTTGCTCAGACATGTAAATCTGTGTCTATTTCGGTGATTTTATATTTATTCATGTATGTTATTGCCTGGGATTTCTGTTTGTTTGTTTCTTCATTTTTAAAAAATTACGATCTAAGTTCTTGTGCCAAAATGTAGGGTGACTTTTATGAACTGATGATGATCAAAATATCAGTCTGTGGAGGATAAGAAGAAGTGCCCTGAAGGATAAAGTGTGACGAGTGCTGTCCCATTATCAGTGTCTTGCCTTTTACCCTCCTCCTCCCTGGGTCATATGAAGTTAGTCCAGCTAACCCGACGCTGATGTTGTACTGCGTTGCTGTATCTTTATACTTTACATGCAGATTTTTCCGCTAAACTGCTGATAAATGATTCTCATGAGATGACGTTATATTTTCATATGTTGACAATGTTTTTGTCTGATCATTACGATTTTATCAGTGACTCTTTTGATAGAGGTGTATAGACGTATTAGGTCACCGTCTCTTACGGATGACTGGAATAATCGGAATGCATGTTGTACTTTATTATGTCCAACCCCATCGCTACCAAAAACTGAGATTTCAGTGTCCATGCTGCAGTGTATAGAGTGCAGGTGGACGTATCAGTCTTTTCTCATGTTCTCGTGTTCATTTTGTTCTCTACTCTTAAAAATAAGGGTTCTGAAATTGTTCTTGGCTTCTACACTAGGTAGTAAAGGAAGTAAAGACAGTGGTTGTATATAGAACCATAAACATTCAAAGAACCATTTGCATACTTAAAGGGTGCATGGTGAAATGGTTCTTCAGATTGATGGATGAGAATTTGTTGTACACTCTTAAAAAAGATGGTGCTTCATGGGTTCTTTAGTAAAGGAAATGGTTCTATATAGAACCATGAACACTTAAAGAAACCTTTGCATGATTAAAGGGTTCTTTGCATCATGAAAGGGTCTTTTGGATTGATGGAAAATGTGCATAAATGTGTTCTATATAGAACCTTTTTGAGGGGCTGTATATAGCACCCAAAAAGGTTCTTCTATTGTTATAAGCTTGACATTAAAGAACCTTTTTGGATGCTATATAGAATCATTTTCAAAAAAGGTTCTATGTAGAATCTACAGCACATTCTCCATCAGTCTAAAGAACCCTTTCATGATGCAAAGAACCCTTTAATCTTTTACGAGTGCCTATGGTTCTACATAGACGCTTTTTTGAAAAGGGTTCTTTTATTGTTATAATGTCAAGCTTGTAACAATAGAAGAACACTTTTTGGTACTAAATAGCACTGTTTTCAAAAAGGAACCATTGTCTTCACTAAAGAACCCTTGACGAACCTACTTTTTTAAGCATGTAAGAGAAAACATTTATGGAACCTTGACATTAAGTGGACCTTCTTTAAACTCTCACATCTCATTTACAAAACCGGTTCTTTGAAGCACCATCTATTGAAAGGTTCTTTAAAGTAATCAAAAGTGGTTCTTCTGTTGTTGCATTGCTCCAAAGAGCCTTTGGCACCTTTATTTTTAAGAGTGTTAATGGCTTTATCATTGTGAATTGATAGGAGGGCTTTTGTTGTCTTTTTTTACTAAAACCTACTGTGATTGAGCGACTGTGATATTGTTCTAAAGCAGCAAAGATAATCAGGTTTAGAAACTGATTATTACCAGTAATGACTACGAGAATGATTTACCTCCTTAAGAAACAGTGGAAAAAAACAACAGTTGGCTGTATTAGCACAGAACTGTCCACCATTATGATGTACTTGGAGATTTCTGGAAAACTAAAATGATTTGTTGAAATACATTTTTTTACATCAAATCACCAACACGCTGTGTCAGTGTTTCTTTATCAGAGCAGTTGACGAAATGAAATATGGGGTGTAGCACAGAGATAAAAGAGTAACACCGATTGTGCATCGATGTAATAGTAACAGTGTTAACTGTAACACAGGATACAATAAAATAAGCCCACCACCAACAACAGGCTCATTCAAAAGCAAGGGAGGGGGGCATCCGTTTGGAAATTATTGGGCTCTCGCGGTATAGTCAATGAGCTTTGTTAGATTGCCATTGACGATTCAGCATTTTACCCTGCCTATTTCAACCTGCTGTAGTTACATAAGTGTTGGCTGTTGTGCTGTGTGATTGCTGTGTGCTGTGATTTAGTGCCCTGGGGGGGTTAAATCAATAGGCGTCAGAGCTATGGCTTCACACAGGGCACATACTGTAACACAATCAAACTCAGGTTCAGTTCTCTCAGGGCCTTCATGAGTCCAAACCCTGGCTGTGGCAGTGCTGCCCTCACGACAGTCCAGTCGTCTCAGTGTCAAAGGGAAGGCTGCGGGGGGGGTGGGGGGTGGGGGGGTTACTGAGGCACAGACCACTTCAGCGGTAACGTTAGACTGATAGAACAATGGTAGAATGGCAGTGTGCCTGAGAGGGATACAAAAAACTGGGGCAAGAGCTTTCAGGATGCGCATGTGGGAGTGTGTGGCGAGATGTGGAGAGTGAGAGGGCATGGTTTATGCCAAACATGTTAGAGCCATAAATTAAGGCAATGCTTTGCATATTGTCACTCTTTAGACCTATATGAATCATGCTGCCATGTTGGTTCAAACTTGTTCAGAATTAACATTTAGGACTTTAAACTGACTTCAACTTTAGACTAAAATCCTTTTGCTTTAAATGACCCTATACCTTCATTATGTTCATTTTAATAAAATAAATGACTGAACATTCCATACCAATACAGTAATAACACCTCTGAAACTTTAACAAATGTTTTGGTGGTGACAGTTTTAGCTCATTTTGAGCAGAACTCAAAAACACCAGTACATGACTAGCAAACACAGCTTTGAACAGCTGTACACACATAAAATCACAAAGTTTTCATCAAAACATATGAAGGGTTCCTGAATTGCAGAAAATATATATTTCGTTAGTTCGTAGGTGTGGCTAAAATAAGGCTCCGCCTATGGACTAAAACTTTTGGTAGTGACGTGAACATTTATTTAAAATTTAAACTCATGACAACTCTAAATCTTAAAAAGCTAAATAGAAAAAAATGTAAAGTTAATATTTAGGGGTCAGAGTTTGGGACAGCCACCTCCCAATAGAGAGTAACCAATAAATGATGATTTTGTGTATGTTTAGCTTATTACTACCCCATTAATGCAGAAGGTTTATATCACAAATATATTTATGTTTTTTTTTTTTTTACTTTGGGACCACAGTTTTTATTTAAATTCTAATTCAGTAGAATGGTCCATTGGCTTCTTCTATGTATGTACATACTCCTTGACCATTTCATTAGGTACAACTTCCTTGTATGAGCCCTGACTCATCCCTAACCCTGTGTAACCCTGTGTGATGGTTGAGAACTGAACTATACAAATACAGGTTTTATCTTTATCCAAACTTTGCTTAGCTGATATCTGCAGGTCATATGGTCAACCACAAAGCATGTTGTGATATCTGAATAGGGAGTAATGTGTTGCCCTGGCCACTGTAGAAAAGAAAGGTGAGCTCTGTGTCTGCCATGAGCATTCACTGTTTGAGCACTGTTTGTTCCTGTACTGCACACCTTGTAAGTCTTATTTTCTAACATTTTTCTAACCAGTTCTAACTATAGTCTGTCTAACATCAAGCTGTAATGGAAAGTGCAACCAGATGGATCTTAATCCTGCTGAGATTAATCTTGATTTTATGTTAATTAACCAACCATCAAATGATGTGTATGCCTTTCTTGTTCTTCTCCACATCTAAATGCTTGCACTGCACCAAATAGTATCTGGCGCTCACCCAATGCTACCTGGTGCTCACTTTGCAGGAGAAGAAAAAGTAACAATCTTAACTTCCAATGTAAGTTAATATAATTACTAGTCATTTTGGACCATTTCTATTAGTCCATTAACACATGACAGCAGCAAGAAACATCAAGATCCAAAAGTCTAGAAAGTTTTAAGGAGACCACTAGCGAAGGTGCTTCAATTTTACATTCTTTTCTAATTTTATAATAAATGAGTCATTACAACTAATATTATCGGGATAACAATTTGAGTGAAAAGTAGAATATTCAAAATATTTACATGTATTTCAGAATTTCAATGTCACTTTTTTGCACTCAAGCACTCAAGCTGTCCAAAAGCCTCTGATGAGCAGACCAAAACCACATGAAAGTCATCTGAACACAAGCTTATGTACAAAGGCCTTAACATGGTCAATATCATAAATTTGCTTAAATTCGAATAGTGACATAGAAATAGTGCAGAATCCTTCATTGTTGCTCATCATCGTTTCTTTGTTTAATTTTTATTTTTTGTAGTTTACATGTTTTCTGGTTTAAATGAAAAAACACATTTCCAATGTTGTCACAGGCTTTTTGACCCTGCCATTGTATGATAAGTAGAAGTTAAAGCAAAAGTACAAAAGTAACAGATAAAAAAAAACTACTTGTAAATTCAGTAACTTCAGGACTACATCAGGGTGTCTTGTACACCCAGCATCTATCAACACAGCAACATAAGTTTTATTCTTTTCTTTTTGCACTTAAATAAAATGATAAAGCCCAAACATCAGACCTGTGGCTAACTGCAAAGAAGGAGCTGTCACAAACACTACTTAATGAAATGAAACACAAAAAAGATATTAATAAGTAAATATTAATCACTAAAATTTAACAGAGTAAAAAGTAGACTACTTTTCTACAAATATGCTTGAGCAGAAGTAAACTTAGTCCTATTATTATTTGAAACTAGTGCCCATGTAGGTTCAGAGGCTAATGGCTATCCTATGGAAACCCATTTTCACCAGTGGAGAAAAATATATAACCATTTAGAAAGTCATAATAATAAGAACGTTTTCCGTTATTTCCGACTTAGTATCTCATAATTATGACATAGTATCTCATTATTATGGAAAAGCTTTTCATAATTATGACTTAGCATCTCATAATAATTACTTACTATCTCATTATAATGAGAATATTTTCTCACAATTATAAGAAAGTACATCAAAATTATGAGAAAGTAAGTCATTATTATAAGATACTAAGTCATACTTATGAGATTCCAAGTCAGAATTGTGAGATTGAATCTCATTATGATATATTAAGTTATAATTATGAGAAAGTAAGTCGTGATTATAAGATGCTATATTATAAATATGAGATACCAAGTCATAATTATGGGACTGAATTTAATTAATATGACACTGACATGAGAAAGAAAATTATAAGATGGTAAATCATAATTATGAGAAAGTAAGTCATTATTACGAGACATTAAGTCATACTTATGAGATACCAAGTCATAATTATGAAATTGAATCTGAGATACTATGTCATAATTATGAGATACCAAGCCATAACTGTGACACATACATTATTATGAGATGCTAAGTCATAATTATGAGAAAGTAAGTCATAATTATAAGATGGTAAGTGATAATTATGAGAAAGTAAGTCATTATCATGAGATACTAAGTCATAATTATAAGATTGAATCTCATTAGGAGATACTAAGTCATAATTATGAAAAAGTAAGGCATGACATGGCTATATATTGTCTTCCAGAAATTTCTATACAATCCACCTCTGTACACACAAAGTACCTGCTGGCCCTGGTACCTGCCTGAACGCGCCTTGGCCAGGCAGGTCACGTGAATCACGACATCCTCAACACGCCCATGAACCAGTAGCAGACCTACTAGATGTTGACTGAGTGGTGGCGCAACAGCGTGTACTCGCTCTCTCTTACTCCTGCACCTGCGACCGACTTACAGCAACGAGTTCACGCTGTTTTCTCAGTTGAGGTGAGCAAAACGAAGCTCTCTGTGTCGGTAGTGCTAATTTTAGCACGAGACTCCTTCAGTCGTGCTCTCATGAAGACGTAGGAGTTCAGCATGAGAACATCTTCAAATCTAACGCTTTCTGGAAGAAAGGTGTCAGTGGACCTGCAAGAGGCGGTTCCGGATAAGTGACAGTTATTTTCCCCTGAACGGATCAAGAAGGTTGGACCTGATAACGAGGAGGTAATGTGATCAGAGTGAACTCTTGTGCTCTTTGTGCTGTGTTGCTGTTAGTTCTTTGGCTTTATTCATTTACATCAAGTTTGTAAAGGGCCTTGAAATAATGAGCAAATAATTAATAGTAATCCAGGTGATAAATGCCAGCTTTTTAATGATGATGTAACATGTATTTTTCAAATCTGTGGACACCAGTTGGTTTAAAATGACTGAACAACTATTGTGCAATTCCACAGAAACTGCACATGCATCTCTTAGTGTACATTTTAAGAAAAAAAGCAACTAAAATGTGTAAACAAGGTGTTTCCATCTTGTTGGGTGAATGTGCTCTTGAGGTACATGATGTAAATATCCTGGGCTGTGCGATGCTGTGCATCATACCCAGTCAGGCACAGATAATGAGTCCCCTGGAGTCAAACCATGGAGACCGAATCCCCTAGAGACTTTCTCTTAATGGTCTTAGTGGTGTTCAAGACTTCACAACAGTAGATTTGGCTGAACAGGCTTCTCATTCATTGTTGAGACTGAGTTATGTAGATGGAAATCATGTACATATTTGAATATGTGCAGTCACCATATCCTCTCATTTCCAGGTGTATGCAGCATATTAGCATATCCTCATATTTCCTCTTCTCTTTTCCCAGTCCATGGCACGATGCAGGTGCAGTGGAAGGGCCCTGTGCCTGTGTCTTCTTCCGTTTCTGATGATGAGCCATCTCTTGGTGTACATCATGGTGTCCATATTTGTTGCCATCTCCTACACTCCAGAACCTCAGCTGCCTCGTCATTTCGTGGCCCCTGGAGCGTCATCAAACTCTGGAGCTTTAGCACCCCATCCAATTGCCACCTTCTGGAACCTGCGCTTGGTGGAGGGGGCTTTGTGGAACCGCCTCCAGCATCTTCAAGACAGAGAGCACAATCCCATATTGAGAGGTAACAGCACAGGGGACAGGGGTACAAGCACTGACCCTAATTACATGCATGAGACTGAGGCTGATGGTTCTCCTTCATGTAGTCCTGACCATCTCTGGGCATCTCAACTGCCTGACTTTAACACTATGCCTGAGCAGATGCAGGACTTTGTCTTGTCCATGCACTGCAGACGCTATAGCCTCCTGATAGATCAGCCTGGCCTGTGCACTGAGCAAGATGCTGAAACAGAGACACCAATGCTACTTATGGCAATCAAGTCTCAAGTAGGGCACTTTGAGAACAGGCAGGCCATCAGGGAGACATGGGGGAGGAGTGGCTGGGTAAAGGAGGAGGCAGGGGGGAAAAGGTGGCAGGTACGCACCATCTTTTTGCTTGGTAGGCAAGATGGAACAACAGGCCCCCACCCAGACCTGGCAGCACTGCTACAGCTGGAAAGCGACCATCATAAAGACATCCTGCAGTGGGACTTCAGAGACACTTTCTTCAATCTCACCTTGAAGGATGTGCTCTTCTGGGACTGGCTCTCCATGCACTGCCCACATGCACACTTCATCTTCAAGGGGGACGATGACGTTTTTGTCAGGACAGGCACCCTCTTGGACTACTTGAATGAACACAAAGCTCCTTCACAAGGGTCAAATAACAGAAGCAAAGGAAAAGAGGATTTCCTTGTGGGGGATGTGATTACCAATGCTTGGCCCAGTCGGCAAGCCAACACTAAATACTACATACCCGAGAGTTTCTACAAAGGAGCGTACCCAACATATGCGGGTGGAGGAGGAGTAGTTTACTCTGGCGCTCTGGCCTTGCGGCTTCAAGTAGTCTCTCGATGGGTCAGTTTGTTCCCCATTGATGATGTATACTTGGGGATGTGCCTTCATAGACTGGGGATATCCCCTCTTCATCACCCTGGGTTTTTGACCTTTGATCTACCAGAGGCTGAGAGGGAAAAGCCATGTGCTTATCGCAGAGTACTTCTGGTGCATAAGCGGAGCCCCAAAGAGATGCTCACACTGTGGAGGGAACTAAAGGCTCCACTGCCTGAGTGTTAATGCAGGCCCATGGAAAAAGACTTTGGAAAAGATTTTGACTTTATACACCTGGTTTGTATAATGATCAGAGGCACTGCCTTTTTAAAAACAACACAGATTTGAATGTTTGCCGTCAGGTATTTTCATGTCAGTGGAGCGTGTTTTATTTGCATAATAAATCGTTCACTCCGCTGCCACTCAGTAGGCTGTTTGGTGATGGATGCTACAAAAGTCAGTATGCATGAAAAGCCTGTCATTATAGGATGAGCTGTGTTTATTATTGTAATTGAATAGATTCATTTCATTGTTTTGCTTTGGAGACTAGGGATGCACGACATACCAGAATCTTATGGGTTGATGGCATATCTGTTGTACTCTGGAAGAGCAGAACAGAGGACACTTAGCTACTATGCAAACATTTCTGCATTTCTTTCATTTGACTGATTTATAACAGAAATAAATGTAAGGCTTCTCTATCACGCTAGTTCAGGTAGATTTAGTCTTAGTTTTTACATTTCATTAATATTTATGTTTCGGCTGCAACAGATATGCACATGCATGTTGGCATCGGCCCATAATTTCCATATTGGTGCATTCCTATTGCCAATTCTTATGAAGCCTTTGTTGTGCATATATTCAAAATTCATTTTATTAGTATATAGAAGTGTTAGTACATTAATGTACAATACGTTCTTTTTGTTAATAATGTTGATTAATTCACTGTCACAATGACAATGTTTTAATACATAGGCATGTTCATTTTTTTGTATGGATGTTGGTTTCAAACAGCTTGAGTCTTATTATTTATTTCATTGCTTTTAGCTCTTACTTGTGCACCATAAGAGTTACTCTCTATGTTGTTTTCAAGGCCACAGGAATGTAGCGTTCTTTTTCTGGGAACAGGTAAACGTTGCTGAAACCCTATCCAGGACCAAACCAGGAATACAACAGCACTGCCATATTATGCCATATAATTTGCACTGTGCAGCCCTAACCAACTGAGCCACTACTGCCTTACTGGTATGTATTTTATTCATACTGCATCATATACTTAGCCAAAGATTTATAATTGTAATGCATTTAATGGATTTTTAGCAATAATAATTCATTTCTAAATGTTTTTTCCCATATATTACTATCATTTTGTATTCTTCATTTTTTACTTTTTATTGTAAATTTAAAGACTACATTAAGTGGTGTTACAGATGAGTAAAAGTCCATTTTACTTTTGGAAGGATCAGTTTCTCAAAATCTGAAACATTTAAACTTAGGGCTGCACCGCTCATGAATTTTTATGTCCGATTCTGATTTCCGATGGTCAATTTTTATCACATTATTTGCTCATTAATGGGCCAAACTGGCATATTAATCAAATAGCATGAATCAGATAAAATGGCTACATTGAAAGTCAGCAGTAACTGGCTATTTAGCACAATAAACATCCTCTATATTGTTATGCTACATTTTGGTTCTGGTGCAGCAGCAGCATTCAAATACAGCATGAGTGCTCTTACCTGCCTCACCTTATTTATCTCAATAAACTGTGACAAAGATCTGTGTTTGCAGTAGGCCTGTCACAATCATTATATAATAGCCTATTCACAATTATTTCAGAGGATCACAATTATTTAAACTGACTTCAGTAATTTCACAGATTATGCCACAACAAGCAGAATGTGAATTGGGTGAGATGGGTTGAGGCAAATTAACATAAATAAAAGGAAATTGTAAATGCATTCATTGAGACACATTTCTAACTTCTAACTTCGGTGCTTTAACATATTTAGTAGCTATTGTGAGTAATATTTGTTTATTTGTTATCTATGTAGCTAATTCTAACATTTTTAGCACCTAGGCTAGCAGAGTAAGTGTTGTTTGCTTGTATTTCCACATAAAAATGATGTAGCTTTGCTTGACTATACACATGATCCTGTGTACACATTTGTGTGAGTACTGTATCATTTTGACAGTACAGCCAGTGTTAGCTACTAAGTAATCATATCTAGGAAGCAGGGTGGCTAATAGATGCATACAATGAACAAGAAAGGATGATTAAATTGTTAATCACAATTATTTACATGACAATTAATCATCAGCTAAAATTGCATGATGGTGGCAGCCCTAGTTTGAAGCAGAAATCTGCTGATTGCAATCTTGGGCCATTCCGATTGTGCACCCCTTTTAAAACAGAAGAACTAATATTTTCTTATTGGGATTTGTTCTTAGATAAGAACAGAGTCTATAGGCCTCATTTACTAATATCTTGAGAAAGGTCCTAAGAAAAAGTCTACGTCAGATTCATGACCGCAGAACTGTTCACACCTTGAGTGTGTTTAGATTCTGTTCTTACCTAAGAACAAATCCCAAATAAGAAAACATTGGTTGAATGTCAGAATCATCGTGAAAACTGCACAAGTGGATTTTAAGAAGTAATTTCATCTTAACAACGGCTGGTGAATGAGGCCCATTAAGCCTTTGTGATATTGCTTGTTTACATGAATATTTTCTATGCAGCATCTTGCAATAAAGAAGCTCTATTTCTCTACCATTTTGTCTCTTTTATTAATCCCAGCTGGTGACGCAGTAATGCTAGGGATTCTTAATGTATTGCGTTAAATTCTGATTGTCACCTGATTCTAAACACAATGTCCAAACCCCAGAGTAAACCATAATCATCTAAAAATATTGTTTCTTTTGTGAAATGACTAAGTAAACGTAAAATTGCCTTTCCACAAAAGTACCGGATGACTAACAGAACTGCAGGGGGATTCTTAGTACATCCAGCATCTATTCTTCTCTTACTGATCACTCTTGGACTGCAATAAAAACATAAATCTCGAAAGTCAGAGATATGACCAATCACAAAACATAATGAAATCAGTAACTAAATAAGAAATACTCAAATATAACTGGATAGAAAGTAGATGATTTTCCTCATAAATATACTTGAGTAAAAGTATTTATATTAATCAAATACTTACCTGAGTACATGTAACTGAGTAAATGTAACTGTTACCACCCATCTCTTCACAGGTTAGTCACACACATGGGGCTGGTTACCTGCACATGAATTAAGCTAGTCTTGGATTAAGTTGCAGTGCTAATGAATGACCTTTGGAAAATCTTTTCAGTCTAGGCTTATGTTTAAAGGGGAATTTCGAAGATTTTATCATAATATCTGTCTCAGTTGCTGGGATGCTTCAGATGTCAGGTTCCCATCACCACCACTGTGAACAATTCCGACTTGGTGAAGTTATAAAACGGCACATTGCACATTAAATGGCACCTTAATGACTTTGGTTACATCTTTACAAATTAATTATTCAGAATATTTGAAGAAATTCCCATTTAAGCCTTATGTGGAAAACTGGCCCACAATGTCATTATCGGGCCTCCTCACCGCTGGGCGGCAGTGAGCGGTAATTAGCATATTTGACCTGGAAGGAGATACGAGGTTCTTCGAAACGCTCTGTGTACGACTGCTGAACGGTGTTTGTGCTGCAGTCGCTAGTTCATCCAGCGGCCTCTCAGAATGGATTAAAGGCGTTTTTAAAGCTGTAACAGGTACATTTCACACAGCAGCAGTGGAGCAGAGGTTCTCTGTAGCTGGTATGTATAGTCGCATCGTGTCGGTTCTTGGTGAGAAGGCGTTTGCTTAGATGGTAGCTAGCTTAGCTAGCCAACTAACTAACGAGGCTGTTTGTGCGGTCGATGTTAGCGTTAGTTGGAAGAGTGTCTTCAATCTGTCTGCTTAAAGTCCTGTTCTTGCTCTGTGAATAGTTTGGACTTTACCCGGCTGCTTTCGTGTTTGTTGTCAGGACTAACGTTGGAGTTAACGTCTGTTAGCTAAGCTAACTGACTTCACCAATATCCAGAAACAAACCCGTCACTGAAATGGGCTCATCTAAGAAACACAAAGAGAAGGACAAGGAGAGAGACCCAGAGGAGCGGCACCGGGAGCACAAAAAACACCGACACAAGGAGAGAGACAGGGATAAGGAGAGGGATGGGAGGGATAAGGAAAAGGAGAAGAGGAAAAGATCCCGCTCCCGGGAGAGGAGCGGCCGAGGAGAGAAGGAGAGTCGCAGTAAAGGAGAGAAGAGCGGCGGAGAGCCGCGGGTAAAGAAGGAGAAAGTTGATCCTGGTTATGAGGAGAGTGAAGGTGAGTCTGCAGATGTCGCTGAAAATTTTAAAATGTGTTGTTTAGGGGTTTGAGTGTCATTTGCCACCTTTCCAAGTCAAAGGCCTACGTCAACATTGTTGTAATTTTCTCTTATCACTGATGTATTAAATGAGAAACAATATAGCGTTAGTTAGTCCAAAACACTGCTACATTTATAACAGAGCAGCAGCCCCCTATATATACAATACAGAGAGCAAACTATACTGTACAGTTAACCATGAAGTATACAAACATTAAGTGTCAGACAGTAGAGGCTAGACTGTGGCCAATGAGCGCAAAATAGGCCACCTGTCCACTGCAGCACTGGCTGCTGTGTATATCCATATATTGTTATTAAAGCATATTGATCAGAAATAATCCTCATCAGCGTTCCATGGAAACAACAGTCGCAGATCAGAACTAGACATGTGGGTGGAACTTTTTTTGTAGATATATTTTGTATTCATGGCTCTGAATAAAAAATTGTATTGAGTTTAAAAATGTAAAGTTAGTTACACTCCTACCTTTTGTACATCATGTTACTGCTGATTTTGAAACCCTTTGGTATCTTAAAGTTTTGTTTTTAAATGAAATGGCGTACGCTTCAGTTAAACTTATCATACGTTTTTTATGATGGTTCATTTACAGAGATTGCTCCAAAATCTGCGAGTGGTGATGCTTCGCTCAGCATCGAAGAAACCAAGTATGTTGCTTTAATATTTGTATAAACACAAACTTTTTTGCTTCTTGGTAAATTTTACACTTGACTATTTCCTGTTTTCCTTCTCTCAGTAAGTTGAGGGCCAAACTGGGTCTGAAGCCTCTGGAGCTGAATGAGAACAAAAAAGGTGAGGTATAAGTGTCTAGCAAGACTAGCTTTATAAAATAAACATGTTTTTGGCAATGCTTCTTACTCACTAACATTTTCTGATCTCAGAGCTTGGCACAAAGGAGGAACCCCTGTTGGCTGAGACAATCAACCCTGCACAGATCAAACAGCAGGCCGACATAAGAGAGAAGCTGGCTGCTCTCAAAGAGAAACGCCTGCTTAATCAAAAACTTGGGTATGAACATCTTACGTTTTGTCTGCATGTTCACCATAATAGGTCTTGACTTTAAACCTAGTGTGACTAGTTTTTGTCAGTGAAATCCCATGAGCGAAACTACAAATGGTTTCTTTGGAGTTTGCTGTGATTTGTATCGACTTTCAGAATGAGTCAATTTTGCGAG